ACGGCCTGGCTCCCCCTGGCGGGACAGAGCCCCCGGAGACGAAGGGTGCGGGTTAAAAACCCGCCACGTGGGGCTACGTTCAGTGCGGCGCTGGAAAAGCCGAACCCTTCTTCCGGAGAAGATGTTGGAGCAAACCACGCTGCTGCCCGCCCTGCGCAGCCGGTCCCCTGGCTCCCCGCGGGGGGGGGGCATTCCCGCCAGCCCCAGGAAGGCCCTTGGCCGCCTCAGTGGGCTAAGGCCTCTGCCTTCACTTCCTGCCTCGAGCCGCCCTGCACGGCGGCCGCTGGCGCTGCAGACGGGCGGCTGCCCCAAAGGCCTGTGTGCGCAGCAGCAGCTGGCAAAGCGACCGTGGCGTGTGAGTTGACGCGGGAGATGGCGCAGGCCGCGCCTCACCATGCTCAGACGCAGCATTAACGCCCACCGTCATGAGAGCAGCCCGCCCAGGCAGCGTTTGGATTGCTCCGAGGGTCCGCGCTGAGCCTAGCCCTGGCATGCGGGTGGCCGGTCTCCTAGGCGGGGGAAGGCGCTGACGTCCCAATCCACAGCATGGCCCAGCTCACACGGGGTCTGTTTTGGGACCAGGTCGGTTCAGTGTCTTCGTCAACGATTTCGATATCGGCATGGACAGTACGATTAGCACGTTTGCAGAGGGTGCCAATCTGGGAGGGGCTGCGAGTGCTCTGGAGGATGGGTCATAATTCAAACGGATCTGGACAAACAGGAGAAATGGGCTGAGGTCAATAGGATGAAGTTGAATAAGGACAAATGCAAAGTGCTCCACTTAGGGAGGAACAATCCGTGTCTCACACACAGAACGGGAAGCGACTGTCTGGGCAAGAGCATGCAGAAGGGACTAGGGTAGGGCTGTAATAGATTAACCGATTCGCCACAGGCAAAGCCTGGTTCCCAACCTGCCATCCTTACTTTGCGCTTTGCGGCGACTCGGTGCAGCCGCGTCGTTGCCGGGCCGGGCCCCTGGGGGAGTGCCACAACCCTTAAGGCAGCTGCGGCAGCGCAGCACGCTCACGAGAACACCCGGTGCTCCCCTGGGAACCAGGGCCCCGTGTACGGCCTGGCCGGGCTTACGCTGCCTGGGCAACCCCTGAGGTTTCCGTGATGCAAGGTGGCCGCTGGGGGCTGCCCCTGGGTCAGAGGGAGGTTAGAGATGACACCAGTGAGCTCAGCTTCCCAGCCCCCTCCCATTGGCCGCCGGCCAAAAGGAGCAAGTTTTCCGCTGGGTTCTCCTGCAGCGGCACACGGCAGCCGGGCTGGCGGTGCAGCGTGGGCGCGCTCAGCTGTGTGTTTATCGGCTCCGTCCCTGATACGATCAGCATGAGCAGGCCACCCACACAAAGCCTTAACGGCCTGGTCTAGACGCCAGCTTCCCCGCCCTGGCTGTGTGCGTGTGTGTGCGTGTGTGCGCCAGGGGGGGCGTCTGCCTGGCAGAGGGACGGCTGTCTGGGGCCCTGTGCCGGTTTGTTTGCTCCACCGCCCACGCAAAGGCTAAACAATTTTTCTGGTGTTTATAGTTGTTTTTTCCCCTCCTGGAGACAAATAAACCACTAGAGAAATAAGCGTCTCCCTGTTCTTTCATGGCTAGTAACCAGCAGCCTTTAGGGCAGGAAACAGTCCTGGCCTAAACAAATGACTTTAGGATTTTTTGTGGCTTCCACCACTCCCAGTTACTGAGGATTTAGACCATGCCTCTTACTGCACATTGTATTTCTTGGGCTGGAGACACAGCGCCTAGTGCACCGACACTGGGCAGCAGCCTGCACAGCCAGGTGCTATGCAGGATCTCCAAGCAAAGAGCGCACGCCTGTCCCAGGAGTAGCACTCAGAGAGCTTTTAGCAAGTACTCTCCCCATTTTACAGATAGGAAAACTGAGGTGTGGGACCTGCTGAGGCATGCATGCAATCACTCAGTGGGCCCGTGACAGAGGCAGGCGTAGACCCAGGTTTCCTACTCTGTCACACAACTGCTGATTGGTGTGAAATCCCCAGCGAGGCCCACAGACGGATCATGCCAGAAGGGGCGGGGCTTCAGGCAAAAGGGGCGGGGCTGGGGCAGCCAGCG